TTCCTTCCTAACAACATGAATGGTATGTCAGGATAGATAAGTCTTGATAAATTACATGAGTGGTCCATCTTGATAATGGTCTTTACAAAACAGTCTTTACAGATTATTATACCGGTCCATCTTGATAGATAAGTCTTGATAAATTACATTAATGGTCCATCTTGATAGATAAGTCTTGATAAATTACATTAATGGTCCATCTGAATAGATAAGTCTTGATAAATTACATTAATGGTCCATCTGAATAGATATGTCTTGATAAATTACATTAAGGGTCCATCTGAATAGATATGTCTTGATAAATTACATTAATGGTCCCTCTGAATAGATATGTCTTGATAAATTATATTAATGATCCGCCTATATAATGGTCTTCACAAAGCAGTCTTTACAGATTATGATAACCGTCCATTGAGATAGCAGTCTTTACAGATCCAGACAATAGCATTATTTGACAAAGGTCTTCATAAATCAGGACAATATGTCAACACACCTGACTCCCGTCAGACTCTGCAGTGCCCCCTCTCGACCCCCACATCTGTTGGAACTGCACTCGGAACTCGGCAAATGTCTCAATGATGACAGCAATGAAAACATTCTGAAATACAAAAACCACAGGTTTTGTTAAATATTATGGCTATGAAACCATTCTAAAAAGGACATTCTTGAGAGCATTAAATTCTAACAACTTCAATGAGCACTGGACAAATAGGTCATGGCTGTCTTGCCTCCCTCCTAACATCGTCATCAAGCATCAGATCTGCGACAGACATCAGCGATCATGGTTCTCCATTCATTCCTGTGCTCCGATGATCTCAAAAATGCTTCATTATCCTGATCTTTCCCTGTCACTCATCTATTTAGACTCTCCAAGTAAGTTGCTCAAGGTCTACCCCTGCTTCATTTTTCGTAAATTCTGCGAGCTAGATGTTCAATGCTTCTATGTCTATTCAAGTGTCCCAGAAACTTTATTTGTCTTTCCTTGATTGTTTTTATCAGCAAGCGGCCCACATGGGCTTCTTCAAGTTCTCCTATTTGTATTTCTTTTTCTTTCAAAAAAATTTCAGCAGTCTCCAATGAAACCACATTTTCCAGTATACATAAATATAGGCCTAAAATGTGTGTCACGACGCAGTGGAATCAGACACTCGTCAATTTTTGGGCATGTTGAGTTATTGGTTCCATCTGACTGAAAGTTGATTTATTTGCCTTTCTTCCTATGACATAAATATTCATTATCTTGAAAAGAATTCAAGATATTTGCGATTGAAGGAAGTGAGGTCGCATGCTTTTAGTGGTGAAATTAGCTAGAAAATGGCCACCAGAGTTTGGTAACTCAATTAGCTGAAAGGGTCTGTGAAAACTTTAAACAATGACATATTTTGTGCCTTCAATCAATGTTTTTCAGTGAAATTCACACGGATATGTATTTTTATATGGACCTAAAAGAGGTTAAGCCAAAAAAAATAATTTGATAAAGATTTCCAAACTAGCGGAATAATGTCTGTTTCTCCAATTTCTGTATTTTGACGAGCACCTGATTTCACCACACTGACTCACATTTGAACAACAAGTCATGCAAATCCTACCTTAACCAGCCAAGCCAGGAAGAAGATGAGAGTGACAAAGTAGATGTAGGCCTTCCACGACTGCAGGCTGTCGATGGCATTGTACATGAGAAATACCCAACCCTCCTGAGACGCTGCTTGATACACTGTAAACACGCTGGTTGCTGGAAGACAAAAAAATATAGAAATTCAAATTAATGGGGGGTTTTCAGGAATGATGTCAAGTCACATGGCTCAGTCTCAAGAGGCAGCTGGATCAGGGAAGTAAAAGAATTATATATTCTGTCTCTGGGTGAATGGAGAAAAGAAAGGAAAACTGTCGTGAATAATCCCAAAGAATAACAATACAGACTCTTATTTCACAATGCCCACAGAACAATGATGAAGCACACAGTTGTTAGAACATAATATCGTGAAATTGTCACTAACAAATTTTCAACCTCAGAAAGAAGGGAATAGAACACAACACATGAAATATTTATGCACACAGGAGTGAACAATAGTTATTAAAAATACTGTAACACACCAAGTTGAGGGGGAAAAAAGTACACCTCACAGAAAATGACAGAAATGCACTCCCTTGGAACATGTACACATACACAACAAAAGCCAGTTTCCAGGTTTGCCTTCAGGCACTATTTAAAATTCTTAAATTAAAAAAAAAAATATCAGGTAAAGTGCTAGTGGCTGGTAAGAGTCTAATGTGGTTTGCTCCCAACTTTTTGCTTCTTTTCCACGATGCTATATCATCATCCACATCTGCTTGTCTATCCCTTTCAACACGATAGTAGTCATAAAGTTGACTCACATTATTACACAAACAATGACTCGGCAATATATCAATTGTAATATTAGGCAGCCATGCAGACAGAAAATATATACTATTTTATATATATATATATATATATATATATATATATATATATATATATATATATATATATATATATATATAAAAATAAATAATGGAGGCAAGGAAAGTTACTTACGCAGTTGGTCGAAGCCATTAAAACCCATGACCTTGGGGCTCATGGTCAGCTCCATACACACCAGGCCGCTCTGGCACTGGTAGCCTGAGTCCGGGTCAGCAAAGGGAGAGCAGAACGTGTCCGGCATGGCCAGGTCAAACAGGGTGACGTTGCTGGACAAAAGGAGAGGGTGTGAGATTAGAGGGGAGCTCACAGTGGGTTATAGAATGTCTCGAGTCTCCTTCTTTAGATGAGTGGATGAGCAATGGGCAAAGCTGGAAGAGCAGTGTTTGCACACATGACTGCTCCCAACTCAAAAGATGCACTAAATTCCCTCTGAGTAGAAGAGATCAAGTTACTAATCTTTCACCTGCGAACACAACGCATCCCGTTGAATTCCTACCTTAATAGGATCCGCAAGGACACCCCACCTGACTGCCCGTTGTGTGACTGTAGTGCCAGGATAAAAGAGTATAACATCACCACTTTACCTGCTCTGCTCTTAGCGACCTGCCTATTACCTACCTACCTGCCTCCCAGACATCAGAAATACTCTATACAACAACAAAACACGGCTAATAAAAGCTTGTAATTTTTTGCCATATGGACAGGCCAAAAGGCTGGAACTCAGATGGCCACTAGATCAGAAAAGTAAAGTTCTAATGAGTGGATGGGTTATGGGATTGGGGGAGGGGGGGGGGGAAGATTCTATTTGGCTCCTACTGAACTAATTACAAGAAGTTTATGGTACAAATCCTAACTTGCAATTTTTCAATACTTTGAAATTTTGTAATCATTCGTCCTACAATATGTGGATAAAAAGCTGTTGAGTTAAGAATGTATATTATTATAATCTGTCTGCCCTTTAGACCATGAGAGAAGCACATTGATTGACAAGATAGCTGTCAGTGAGAGCCTGCAGAGAGGCAAGACAGACAAAAAACACACTGACAGACAAATAAATATCAGCAGTAAAGAAGTTGGATCTTTCTGTGGAGCCTTTCATCAGCAGTCTACTACAGGAAGATATAAGACTCAACCCAGGCATTCTTCGACCATCCACCATAATCTTTCCAGAATAATACTTTTCATAAAGATATGTTGATGGTTTTCACAGAGAAGGGGTACATATTCCAAACGTAAAGCATATATGGCTCTACCTCAGAACCCGTGATGTTTACCAATGGACGGAAACTGTAAGACACTGTATGCCTATGGGTTCTTGTTTCATAGGTGTTGTACGGCACTTGTAACAGAATAAAGTCATATAAGTGCCGAAGATTAGAGGTGTTACAGGACAGTAACAAATACAAAAAAAGAAGGATGGGAGACAAAGACGATGGATGTTTGATAGGAAAGAAGAAGCAAACCACACCAGAGCACCCGCCAACCACCCGCTGTATGGGTTCAATACAATCTTCAATACAGTAAACTTAATTCAGCAGCCTCTGGGAGTATTTTGTATCGGACAAATGCTGTACAAACACAGACGAAAATAAAAAATAACACAACAACAGCAAAAAAATTTGACCAAACTCACCCTGGATCAGTTCCATTCCTGACACATCTGTACTTCATTTTACCAAAGAACTGCACCCCCAGGAAGCCATAGAGCAACATGAAGAACAGGTAGAAAATGACCACATTGTAGATTTGTTGACTTGACCGCCTGTAGGTGGGGACAGAAGTCTTCATCATATACTACAGCATCTGCATATATGCTCGTAATACGTGAGGCATCAAAGTGAAATCAGGTGCTAGTCAAAATAATGAAATCAAAGAAATTGGCATTTATCTGTCCGTTTGAAACTTTTTATCAAATGTTCGTTTTTTGACTCAACAAAAAGGTCAATTTAAAAACACATTTCAGTGTGGATTTCACTAAAGAATGTTGATTTAAGGCACAAAAATGTAAACTTGCAGTTTCTGAGTTGAGTCTCAAGCTTTGGAAGTCGCCATACTTTGGAGGCCATTTTCTGGATAATTTTATCTTTTTTAAACCAGGCGACTCCCATCTCCTTCAATCGCATATATCTCGACTTCTATTCATGATAGATGGGTATATTTTTCACCAAAAGCAAGACAATTGAACAAGCTGTAAAGTGACACCAATAACTCCACATGTCCAAAAATTGACGAGCGTCGCATTCCACTGCATCATGACACATATATGAGGGGCCGAGATTCAAAACCCGCTACATTCATTTTAGCACTTTTCAGAAAATCAGCTTTTTGAATGCTGCTATACGCACAAATATACATAAAAAGAAGATTTTTAGGTAGTTTTTATGAAGTATGGGTTGGGTTTTGGCCGAAAACATTTTATGCATCTGATAGCCGGTAACAAAGCGCATTTATAAGCAAAAAACCTTGGTTTTCCCATATGTCAATCACACCCCCTCATATATACATGCCAAAGTCTTTTCCCTGACACAAACTATTTTCCAGAGGTTAGAGAAAACAGAATCATTGAAAGGATGCTATTCATTGTTCAAATTTAAACAAATAGAATCATATAAATTGTCAAGTCAAAATTTACTCTACATGACAAAAAAATCAGAGCTGTTTAATATCAATGCACATTTATTCCTGCAGCAGTAAGAAATATAATTGACCCTTTCACTGCCAGATCTACTTTCCTTTATAATCTTATAAGATAAGATAAGATAAGATAAGATAAGAAACATCTTTAATGTCCAAATTCTAGCTCATTGGTTTAGTGTTTTACCACTTACACACATACACACACATACACACACACACACACACACACACACACACACACACACACATCCACACACACAAATATGCACACACACGCAGTATGCTTGCACTCACAAACAGGCTCACAGTCACATGAATAAAATAAATGAACAATAATATGAACAATAATAACGTTAACCTAGATAACCTACATACTCAGTAATCTGATTGTAACTCAATGGTATTATAATGCATACTTTAAGGTCAATATGAATACTTGTAACAAGATGATCGAAATGAAAGAAGTTTGATGGATGATGGTAAGAATGACCTTCTGTATACCTTTCTTCGTACAGATTGAAAGCTGAGGTCTTTTACTTCTGACTGACATTTTTATTTGAGGGAACAAGGGATGTTTATTGTCCAAAAAGATTAAATTTATTTTTCTGGTGCATGCTATCAAATAGCTTTACAATCTTGAGTGAGGCAGTGAGTGGGTTACAGTTTAAGATTTAGTAGTAGATAGGAACAGAATGTAAAATATTTACAAAGCTATTTCTTTATTAAAACCAGGAAATTTAACCAAGATCATTACCATCACTGTTCTGGGACAAGGAAAATGTACTTTAGAAAAAACCTCACTGGGCATGCACAATCAAAATTGTCGAAGACGGCCACCCATTGTCGAGAAGAAAAGTGGCCATCTTAGATAGATCTAATTGGTGGATGTCTGACAGTGTCTTCATAATGTAAAAAATAATTTTTGTAAACCCGCGTGGGGTGAAATGGTAAGTGTTTGTTTGTAAAAATGATTGTCTTCTACAAGTGGCTGTTTGTAAAAGTAATTGTCTAGGTGGCTGCTACAGCGGGTTCCACTGTACTGTGACAGTTCATCGGACAATACTCACTTGAAGATTGAGTTCAATCTGTTCTTTGGTAACTGAAACTTGAGAAAATTTCGGAAAACTCTGACCAGGATCAAAGGCCGCGGAGACCTAATGATTCTCATGATGGCAGCCACAGAGTTTACATGTGGGTGAACGGCCATTTCATAGATCTGTAAACAGAAGAATAGGATCACATCTTAAACTCTTTCATTTATAACACAAAACTACATTGATAATTACTAACCCTTGGGTTAAAAATCCTTTAATGTTTACTTTGATGTACACAGAAAACTTTTTTTTTATTTCACTAATTCCCAATGTCTTGGTGTTAATCATCATATCCTCAACAAACTCATCCAAAAACTAGTCAATAATGACTACTGTGAGTAAACAAAGTGTTTTAATTTCTTATCTTTATTTCCGTCTTTCTTAGGTACTTCATCATCTCATGCAGAAAATGTGAGTTCAGTTCCCACATGGGGAGGTTTTTTAATTGAGTATCTCCGTCCGTCTTCTGGGACATTGTCCATCTCAGCGAAGGTTGGCTCCCATGAGCAGGGTAAAAAAGGTCACTTCTTATATTAATAAAATCTGAATTATGTCCAAAGGGGCTAAAACATTTACAACTTCAATTACAATTGCAAACACATCACTGTGAGCAAACTCACTGCAGTGTTCATGTCTTCTTCGAGGTCACACCATAATGACTCCCCATTTCAAAGTTGTGTCAGCGACATTAGTTGACATTGTTTCAGAGCCTGGTCTCAAGTTCCCTAAATATCCTACATCACTAGAAATCACAAGATGAAACTACAATTGAAAAGGATGGCGGTGGTGGTCTTGTGGTTAGGGTCTTGGACTTGCAACCATTGAAGGCCATGGGTTCTTGGATAGGCATTATATAAATGCTTTTACTATTGACTTTTATCCGCCGCTTATACCCTTTTGGGTGTCGCGGGATATGTAAACGCAATTATTATTAACTATTATCATTATAAATATGATAACAGCCTGATATTCCTTGGCAGCTACAATAGAAAATTTTCTTGCCCAAGTGGATACATTTGCAGAGAAGCTTTTCGTTTTTCTCTTACCTGAAGAATGACACTGCCCCAGAGGCACATGACCATGACGCCATCAAACTGACACCATCTGTCTTTCAGGTATGGAGCCTCACCCTACACAGAAATAATAACATAAATGTGGGTAAAGATGGA